GCGTGCCGATTAATTCACCAAGTCGAGGGGAATTAAACGGATTACGCGAGAAATTTAACCGGTAGCCGCGTTGCCCCTTTCTCACTGTCGCCGCCGCGCCGACCGAAGACCGTTTATTTCTGACGTTATCGCGTTATCTACGAACCGACCACCACCCTAAACATCTCCACGAGAGAATTTAAGCTACCAGTTTTCCGAATAAAATCCACAAGCCGAACGGAAACATCGTCCGCGTGCATACGCTTCCGTCCTTTATTTCTGCGTATCTCCCTCCCCGGATGCTCGCCGCGTATTTCACCTCGTCCCCGTTACTCCGGCGTTTTCCGCCTTTGTCCGGGGACCGGTATTACAATTAATGCAACGCGGAAAAGTGGGTCGACCCCTCGACCGGTAATTGCATCGTATCCACACATTCCGCTATCCCAGTTCAACAACGCGACGCAACTTCATCGAATATCGTTTTCACCCCTAGGCGTTGTTTTTGCTCCTCCCGCCTCATACACCATTCTCTCCCCTTGCACCAATGTCCACTTTTTCCTCCTTTTTCTTCGATCCATCTCCTCCTTTTGTTCCTCCTCGGCACTTTTCAATATTTCAGCATTCTTTGTCCCCAACTTTTTTTCTCGCCTTTCCATCCTATTTCCCCTTGGCGCGCTTTGAATCTACCACCTTTTTTATTCCTCATCTGCTCCCGTTCTTCCGCCTGGTTCTTTCGATACTTCGATACCCTCTTGTCTCCCGACTGAAAACTCTGCTCGGCTGCTAATGTGTTCGTTCAGTCCATAATTTCCCTCTAATATTCATCGAAATTATTGCATCTTTCAGAACATTTCAATTCTCTGTCCGTTAATTAGAGCAACGACTCTGAGACGGGCTTGTAACGAGCCTCCCTCTGCCCAGGATAATTACGGTGGAAAGGGGCGAAAGTACTCCAGCAGAGACTCCCCGTTCATAGGTTTCATTGTGGATTTGCATTCGAATGCAATCAACGTTAATAGATCCGTATCGGCGCGTATAGCCCACGGGACCACGCGTAATTCGTCTCCATTAGTCCCCGAGTAACCGGTTACTTAAGATTTACGAGGCTAAACCGTCCTCGATCGACCGGAATCTGTCCGTTACACCTGCTAATTCGGTCCATCGATCACCTCCTTCACCCCTCCCTTCGCTTTCTACCTAATGCCTTGCGAAAAATACATTGAACAATGAGCATCGACTCATTCTCGTTTTCTCCCAACTATCCAGCCTCTCGAAACTATCGCACGAAGCCTTTCTCAGAATTTCCACGATTTTCCTCTCACGTTTCGTCCATATTTCAGCTGAAGCTTCGAGGGAACAACAACTCTATATAGTATCGCTTAAACGAAAGTTCCTTCTTTTAGAGCGAAGAAAAACTCCGTTTTGCCCCGAAAGTAAAGTTTCGAAACGAGCACCGAGATTTTACGGATGATTCGTTACTCCCTGTCCTTCGGTGGGACAAGTTTTCGCTCCGCTGTGTTTCTCTACGATATTAAAGATCGCAGAGTATGATTTTTCAAAAGTCTGCCGTTTCCCGCAAGACAGCTAGTCGCACTTAACCTCGTGCAGTTTCATTACGTCCTCCAGCTTTCCTCTATCCAACCATCCTTCACCCCAGCCAACACTCCGAGACAGATGGTCGACCCTTCTTTTAAGTCCGGCTAGAACCATTTCGCTCCGCGGGAACGCGCCGTGGTCGCGTCAGCGGATTTCCGTATCGTAAAAACGAGCCTGAAGGGAGAGATTCGCAGACTTATGACCATTATACGGTCGCATCTTTTGTATCCGTTCTCTGTATCATTTCTTCCTTTCACGTCAGAACACGCGACTTTCCTTCTTTCTCATCTTTAACCATTTGCTCTCATTTTATTTCCTCACTATCAAAATCTTCTTCTTCTTCCTCCCTCTCTATTGATCTCGTTACCAGCATAGACACGCGTCGCAACGATTTTCACCGGACAAGCCCTAGAGACGCGTTAACACGATCCCCGGGCGCACATAATGGAGGCTCGATTAAAAGCGAATGGAATATAAATTGGAGCTCGTGAGCCCGCTTCAGGTATCGACCATCTCGTTTAATCCCAACCAAGCGAACGAGCGCGGCGACGTTTAGAATATGAGAAGCCCGATGGACCACCCATGCCTGGCCTGCGCTCGCTATCTCACCACGATGATCGAGAGCTCGACGACAAAACGACCACTAAAAGAGAGAGAGAGAACCGGCTAACCAGCCGTGGAGAGGCTTGTGACCCTGGCGCCGCGCTGCGCCGGTTCGTTCCGTTCTCTCCTCGACCCGGTTCTTCCTCTATTTCGTCCTCGCTGGAGCTCCAGGACTTTCTTCCAGCTCCTGTTCCTTATCTACGAAGCCCAACAAACTCCTCTTGCATCGCGTCGGCCACGTTTAATTGGACGCCGCACAGCAGAATCGTCGTCGCGTGCGAATCGTCAAAACAGATTCGGGGGAAGAATAACGAAGAGGCAGAGATCGATCGAACAGCGGATGATGGTCGGGAAATCGAAGCGGTCACGCGGTGGACAGGCAACTAGTTGTACAGTACACGGCTTAGACCGCCGACGATAATTTAACCATGAAAGCAGAACGGACGCTGCCGATGCATAGGTCACCTTGGAATAGACGGTGATTGGCAGATAGAGGCATCTCGACCGCAACCCACGGTCGATCGATCCCCTGTGCACCGAATCGCTGATGGACAAAGATGACTCTTCCTACGGTCAATTTCGTTCCCTCGACCCCGCTCTCTCCGTGCAGTTTCCGCTTTATCGCTCGGTAAAGACGCCACGAGGATCGATTCGACGAGAAATACAGCCTTTTCCACATCGCACACACACACGCGCGCGCGCGCGCGCGCCAGTTCTGCCCTAATAGAGTCATTTCCTTGCACCACCGAAGACACATCGTAAAATTCTCTAGCTCGGAAAGAGCTGTATTCAAACGTGTCCAACAGCCAGACATTTTTCCATCTTCTATTTGTGCGGTCGAGTTTCGAGCATTAGCACAGCGAGAAGGAGACACACGAAAAAGGGGACGATTCATCGAGGTAACAGACCAGGCTATCATTAGTGTAATGACGGAGCTGGAACCGGAGGGACAGACAGAAAGAGGATTCCTTGGAATTTCTTTCCGCCTCTCTCTCTCTCTCTCTCCCTCCGTGGAAGAACGGTTTTCGTCCTCGTTGTTGCTACAGAGAGAACCTCAGCTGGATTCTCAGGCGAGTTTGTCCCGGCGTTATTACGTCTATAATGCCCGGACGAGAGCCGGTGCAAAAAGGCTAATCACTGGACCCTGCATCACGACCCTCGACGGAGATTCGTTCGCGGAATCACTGCTGCTGCGCGAGACCATCGCTCGAAATTCCAGACTACTGTTGTCTCCCAGAGGTTCATGAAACCGTAACCTCCTTTTGCCTTCTTACACGCTCGACGATCAGTGGACAGACCAACATCACCAAACATTGTCCAACCACTGCTAGTATCCGTTTTATCTCCGTCTCGTTGGAAAGATATGTTTTGCGTGTTGCGTACAGAAATGTTACTGTTGCGTGTCTGTATAGATATGTTCAGAGGTGAGCAAGTGTAAGCCTGGCCTGGTTTTTGGCATCGAAGCCTTTCGAGCACGTCGGTCAGCGGAATAATTAAAGACACTTTTCGCTCTTGTAACGGGTTACAACGATATATTCTCGGCTGCGTCATTTGGAGCTTTTCGGAGTAATAACAGCGGCGAGGAATTATAAGGATCGGAGCAGCACAGAGAGATCGTATCGTCTGGAAATCAATAATAGGGAGAAGACCGGAGCGTAAGCGGGCGCATTGTAGGGTCTCGTTACATTCTCGGCCGGTTGCGGGGGTTACCGTGGCGCTGGATGCGGTCACTAATTGGAGGACAGGTTTGCAGCACAATTTCCAAATTTACTCGTGAGACACATGCTCGAACGCGACAGCATTTGCATTCGCAGAAACCACCGCACCGGCTATGGGGGGCATATGCCGATTATGCAACACTCATCCTCCGTACCCGATTTACACAAACGATACTTCGTGGGATTAATTTCATTGTCTGTGCGTTTCGTAATCTTGCGCGACACGACATCCTCGATGTAGAGTTGTTGTTACGTAATCAGTTGTCTCTGCAGCAGGATATCAAAATGACTGAACTTGTTTTAATGGAATTGCTACCTTTTTGTCGTGTAAACGTTGTCAAAGACGTTGTACCACGTTGAAAGCGTGTTTGAAATTTGAAAGCGTTTCCATTCAAACCAAGTCTCTATCGCGATTGCTCCCTGTACATCTCCTCGTCGAAACGACTTGGAGTTTGAGCAAAGGGAAAGTTACACGGAAACGGGGGAAATTCGTGCTTCCGGCGATAATGACCACGGGTATTTCACTATGTATCTCTTGTTAGTCACGCTCCTATTAACCGATTTGGAAGTGTGCGTATTCGAGACGGTCGACGTGCTTCCTGGAAACAGGATACGCTCGCTACTGTATCAAAGGCAAATTCCAATACTCCAACGGTAGGCGCGCGCACAAGAGAGAGCCTTAATTAACAGTTTGATACTGTGTGTAATACGCCTTCGTACGTCGGAACGCTCGGCAACTTCCTTTCCGACTGACCTTTCGATTTCGATCAAAGTCGCTTGTCTCTTTGCCTGCTCGTCATTCCGCTGCTGTAAGCAACGAGAGACCAGCAGCACGAGTGACGCGTTACAAAGGCAAGCTTTTAGACAAAAAGCTCGTTCTGAATTGCTCGATTCTGTGTATACCTTTCGTTACCGAAGATTCGTTTTGTTTGATTCTAACCAGTTATTGAATACAATCCAACGAATAATTTCTACTTTAAGACTATTTGGAAACAAACTGTACACCTACTACGAATGCTTCGACTACAAAGTAAATTCATTATCAAAGTTGAGTGATAATCGATAAGCGAAAGGTCCCACGATGTTCAATGGATAGAAACTCACCTTGAGACTCTGTGCTGGGCGATCCTGCCGTGATTCGGTAGAGTGACGTTGCTATCGCTCTTCGACCAGGTCACCGAATTTTTCGCGTCCGGAAGCTCGACTTTTCCCAGGTACGCCTCGCAAAACAATCTCGCCGCGCCACCCAGGGGGACCAATTGCGAGGCTGGCCGATACGTTGGCAGCGGTTTGCCCGTATATCCGCCGGACTTCTCCCCTGAAATTGTACGAATCCCTTATTAAATATTTCACAGGAGACTCTGTCGGGGATACAAGGAAATTCGCCCATTTCTATCGTTTATTCAACACCTTAAGAGCCTTTACGCACTTGCCGACGACTTGGTCGACGAAAGACCAAAAGCCAGGCAACCAAACTGTCGCATAATTTTTTCTGTATGGAAGCTCATCGTTACGTCTGGGAACGCGTGCATTTGATTCGATGCAGTTCATCTTTTGCCGCGACTAGCCAGTTGCCCGTGTGTCTTGAACCTAGCGGTTGTCGACGATCTGGTCGACAGTATGTAACGGCTCTAAATGGAGCCTCTGATAGTCTCTCTTTTAACCCTTTGCAGCACACTTCTAGACTTTTCTTCTTCGCTGGAAAATGAACAGTTTCAAGCTTCTCTGTTGACTCGACCAAATTGTTGCAATGGATCTTTTCCTTTACTTTTCTTTGTTTCTCTTTTGACTCGTTTATGCAAAGGATTAACGATAGAATTGTGCCAATTTGCGGGGAGAAAGATGTCAGATTGTGTTACGTTTAATTGAAGCGAGGAATCCCTCGCGTGTTCCTTGATGCAATGGATATTTGCTGGAACAAAGTTGCGCGCAAATCCGTTTACGTAGCATTATCCGTTTCCTGTTTCACCGTCAAACAAGGCAACTTTGCGAACGCTCGACGTCACGGCAGACTTACCAGGAAACGCAGCCCAACTTACCGAAGCAAAGGACGTCCCCTGTTTCTTCGTTAAACGGCGCAAGTTTTCGAAGAGGGGTCGCCTCGTTCGACGCTTTATGAATTCGGGAGAGGCTACCGGGAATGTTTCATCAACGTTCCGGCAACTTCGTGAGTTTTGCGTCAAAAGGAATTAACGCTCAGGATACTCTGCACTCTTCTTCTTCTTATAACTGGCACCGAAAATTGCCCACTTTGCACCAACTTTTTTCTCACAAACTATCACACCCCGATACCCTTCCTTCCGTTTAATAAGTCTATTAATTCCTTCTTAAACGAAACGCTTATTCGTCCGAAATAAAAATGAAAGCAGTAACACATTGGCGTCACTTGCCAGACGCTAGGCTTTCACACCGGTTCTGAAAGGAGGATGTTAAAAAAGTGCCAAATTTGTACCCCTTCAGGCATCTCAAATGTGATGAAGTTGACGGTACTTCGAAATAAATGCATGAAATGAAAAAATTTAAACGCTATTCTATAGAGGAAGGTGAATATTTATATAGTGTGTAAAAATATATTGCTCAAATTGCTAATTAATAACAATAAAACGCGACAAATTAAGATAAGGTGCTACCATGCAAATATGTTCGTTATTCTACTGTAACTTACTTCGAAAACAAGATGAAATGCATCAAGTATGAAGAATTGTTACTTTATTTCATCCTTCTGTTCTTCAGATGACATTTCTTCGGTAAAATTGAGGAAGTTAGCAGGTGAACGTGTGGACGTCCGATGTCGAGCAAACCTGAAGTACCATAATACTGTTGCAACGTGTGAACAACACCCCGCTACACGTTGGCCTATTTTGCGCTCGCAAATATGTCCAACAATTGTCCAATGTCCAAGAATAAGGTATAAAGAAAGTATTTCACGAAACTGATGTGACATGAGTGCATTTGAGTTTTAACTAAAATACTATTAAAATCTATCGTCAATGTCCAAGAATAAGGTATAAAGAAAGTATTTCATGAAACTGATGTGACATGAGTGCATTTGAGTTTTAACTAAAATACTATTAAAATCTATCGTCAAAGAAGTCGTTGCTACTTGGAATTCGAAGTCGCCGTTTTCATTTAAGTGGTCAGCATAATATCCTGGAGCTTGTTTTACTTGGTAGGATCCGGATGAATATAAACATAGATCATTAGTGTTTAATTGCGGGAAGAAATCAAGTGATACCAGTTCAATGCGTTGAAATTGTGATCGACGTGCGTTTAAGTTTTCACTTGGTACTACATCTGACAAATGATTTTCTTTTGTGGAATACAACGGCGACTTGGAATTCCAGGTGGCAAAAACATCTTTGACAATAGATTACAGCAAATACCACATCGACCTGGATTCTGGAAATAGTATTTTAGTTGGACATATTTGTGAGTGCAAAATAGGCCAACGTGTAGTGGGGTGTTGTTCACACGTTGCAACAGTATTATGGTACTTCGGGTTTGCTAACTTCCTCAACCAATATTTTACCGAAGAAATGTCATCTGAAGAAGAGAAGGATGAAATATAATAACAAAATTCTTCATACTCATACTTACAGTAGAATAACGAACATATTTGCATGGTAGCACATTATCTTAATTTGTCGCGTTTTATTGTTATTAATTAGCAATTTGAACAATATATTTTTACACACTATATAAATATTCACCTTCCTCTATAGAACAGCGTTTGAATTTTTTCATTTTATGCATTTATTTCGAAGTACCGTCAACTTCATCACATTTCAGATAAATAATTGTGCGTTTATGATGCCTCGTTAAAATTTTAGGTGCCTGAAGGAGTACAAATTTGGCACTTTTTTAACATCCTCCTTTACCAGGCTTTCGAACCCGGAAATATCCAGCCCAACGAGACCAAGTCTTACCAAACTTTCTTAACCATATAACGTTCCGCCATTTACCACGCGTTTGTTTCACACTGAGGTCGACGTGAATCCCCGTTTTAGTACGTTCCACGAAACACGTAGATCTTGGAAATATTCCACGTGAAATAGGTACAAGCGATTCGTAATGTGTGAATTACAGTTAGACGAAAGTGGTGCTATTAAAGTGATTTCCATTCCCCTTGCGATTCATTCCCACCACCGCTAAAGACGTTCACAGGAATAATTATGAAATTTCATTTCCCTCGCGGGATCCCGCAAATTATCCACGCACACGGTCCACCATGGCATTCTCCGCGACGTACAGACAAAGCATGGCCCACACTAGAGCTTTTGCGAAAATGCTATTCGAAGGGCAATCCCTACCAGCCGCCTTCTCCCTAAATCACATTCCACTGAATAGCGTCGGCAAGTTGTGACAAACCTCCAGTTAGTAGATGCAGAGTTGATTATTCGAAATGAATGGTAAAACTAACGACAAGAGTGACAGAAATGGAAAAGAGGATGGGAATACAATTAGATTTGGCTGAATCTAGCGAGAAACGAATATAAAATGCACGAAGAATGGTGTGTCCAATTATCGAAGAGAGCAGTTATGGAATAGTTACTCGCCATTTCTCGCCGTGAAGCGCAATTTGTCCGACGTTAATTTTCCCCCGAAGCACTTGTTACGTTTAAATGTCTCTTAGATGATCAACGGAGCCCGATACGCCTTGTCCATGATGACGCGCGATCAATACGAGCCACGTAACAGGATTAATTGGAGTGGCTGCACACCGAGACCCGGTTCGTTTTGCCTTTTTGCACCGAGAAATATCATCGGCTATTTGACGGTTACAGGCAAAACGCTATCACCTTCAAGTGCTCTCTTCTTTTACGTAAATATTCTAAGGTGTCAGTTAAAACACTAGTAAAGGGCCAGGAATGCAAAATATTATAGCATTCGAAGCCATTTGACCTAACGAGTATTCATGTAACGATGATATTAGCATCGATCTAGAGGCAATCGCTCTTTGAAATTGTCTCCGTGGTTATTCAGACGCTGTTCGAGAGGAGATTCGCATATTACGTGAGCTCGCATGTACACGTGATATCCAGGATACATGGTTCGATGGGAGTGCAAACTCAGGTGTGCACACGCGTCACGTGCCGCTCTATGCATACGCCTTACGACGTGCGTGCACGTTGCCACCGTGGAATTGATCCGTACACAGGCCATTGTGCACGTCATCTGCAAATCTGCGCTCAGTTCTCTGATAGTCGCGCCAGTCACCTATTACCTATGCTTCCTTTAGTTTCAGAAAAGCTGTTATCGTTTTTATCTCTACTAGACGCTACTAGCAATTTTTGGTTAATTATTTCAACGCATGTGCACTTACATTGGATAAGAAAATTTGGATAGCTCACAGTTGCGACCATGGTCTACTCTTCGATCATCGCCCGAGAGCTTATTCACGGAATCACGGCCACGTGCATGTGCTTGCATAGCTTTCGATGCAGCTATATATTAGGTCGTAACATATGTAATGTCCGATTCTGTTGTATCAATACTTTAAACCTTATTTTTTCGATAAATATTTGCCTTTGGAGATGTTTTAAAATGACAACTTCAAGATTAGACTTTCTTTTGTCAGATTCAGTCTTTATTTGTTTTGTTTACGTTGCTAAGCTTGCTTTTAATCGTCTTGCTTTCAAACATGAATCAACGTGATTTTCGCGTACTTTTTTTATATGAGTGGAAAATTGGTCATAACGCAGCAGAAGCAGCTCGAAACATAAATGCTGCATTCGGGAATGATACAGTTAACGAACGTACAGTGCGCCGATGGTTCGAAAAACTCGAAGCCGGAGATGAAAGCCTCGTTATTGGAGCACGCGGAAGACCCGAGCCGTCCATTAACGACGATCAGTTGCAGATCTCTATCGAGGCAAATACGCGACAAACAGTTAGAGATTTGTCCCAAGAATTCAGTGTAAGTCCCACGACAATTTCACGTCACCTGAAATTCATTGGGAAAGTGAAAAAACTGGACAAGTGGGGTACCACATGGATTTAACGAACGGTAGAAGCTCCAACGTCAAGACATATGCAATTCACTGCTAATCCGAAATGATAGGGACCCGTTTTTGGATCACATTGTCACTTGTGATGAAAAGCGGATACTGTATGACAATAGAGGACGTTCTGCCCAATGGCTGGACGCAGATGAATTCCCACGACATATGCCAAAGCCAGCCTTGCATCCAAGGAAGGATAATGGTCTCAGTATGGTGGTCAATGGCTAGTGTAATTCACTATAATTTCTTAAGGACGGGTGAAACGATTAATGCGGAGAAATATTGTGCCGAAGTTGAAGCAATGCATCAGAAATTG